CTACTGCGGGTAGGTCAAACGTCAGCGGGATCAAGAGGGTCTAGGTGAAGGGGGTTGAAGTTTAGCAGAAGTATGAATTTTGGCCTCCTGACGACTGAGGTCTCTCGCGATATCCTCCGGCGGCGCGGCGGTGGATACTCTGTGCGTGGAAATGAGCCATGGTGGCGGCGGCGGCGACGGACGCTTCACTACAATGGGAACGTAATTTACGATCGAGTCCCGAAGGTGCCAACCGACGAGCGCCACGCAGCGTTGCATTATACACGGAGGGAGACTGCCGGCTGCTCATCCCCGAAAACTTTGCGGACCCATTGTCCCGGCGAACCGCTCGTAAAACTCTAGCGTCGGATGCGCGATGACTGCGTTTCTGCGTTGGTCGTGTTGTACGAGCCGATCCAAAACACGCCCCCCGCCCTCGCTACCGACGTGCAAAGGGAAGAAACCTTGACAACAATAATAATAATTATAATAATAATAATAATAATAATAATTATTATTATTATTATTATTGAACTCGTCCTCGCCGCAAAGTCTCTGGAGACGGGTCAGCTGGGACGGATATGCAAATGCCCGTAATACGGATATCATATAACTAGGAGGTACCTACTCGTACATTATAATACATTTAAACTCCATAAAATGTATACATATTACATGTATAAATATATATAGTATATATAGGCACGTATTCGCTCAAACATGTTATACTCGCCACCGTCACCGCATGTATTGATGTATAATGACATATTATATGGGTCAGTGTTGTTTTAACTCTCTGGCGACCTGGTTTACTCTTACCTATAGTCTATAAAAAATAATGTGTTTTATTACATTACGACGTATACTAAATTATACCGGTTCAGAATATAATATAATATAATATACTATTGCTATCATTCCAGAGTTCCTGCCAACCTCCCACGACCTATAGTTAACCTAACATATAATTATCATCTGGGAACTGTTGTACAGCGATGTCTTCCGACCGTCCGAACATTTCACCAATGCATATTAGAATATTATTGCGATTCACAACGTAGGTATTTAAAATATGATATTATTTCGTACACACATTATACTACATAAATACACGCATAAAATTATACTCCCGTGTTTCCGATTGATCGCAGAATTTTATTTGGTCAAGTTCGATAACCCTATTGCATAAGGCACAGTTCTAAGAGAACTGACCATTGGTTAGGTAAGGTACTCATAGAAGCTCAAATACCTCTTAAAGTTACATCTTATAAATTCACCCGTACATATAATAATATTTATTTAAATATTAACGATGAGATTGCGTTCGGTCTGTCGTTCTGCTAAAATAAAAACTATCTATTGCTATACTATACGTATATCATACGATTCATTATTCGAAGACAAACAGCAATTTTCCAAAACTCAACAATTAAGCAAAAAAAGTCTATAAAGTTCACACGTAAAAAGTTAAGTTTGCAGAGATTAGCTTTCAACTTAATTAACACCTAATGAATAATGTAAGTTTGTGGACAATAATTGTTATTAATCTTCTAACTAAACTCCAGTATATTTCAAGTAATCAAGTCTGAATTTACAATGTATTCATACATACATCTATTTCTTTTCAAAGTGAACAAATGTTTGTCAAATAAATATTCAACGTAGACAAATGAAAAAGTATATTTTGTTTACCCAGATTGTGGAGACTGTTTTAATCAAATAACATAATAATGTACGCGACTTATTGTACCATATACGAACAATTTAATAATGTACTACAGTAGTGTATTCAGGCGTTTCAAACATTTTCAATTTAAAAACGATTGCGAAATTTCAAGGTTTAAATGTTAATATAAACGAAAATAATAAGTAAGCAAATTTACCCAAAAGAATAATAATTATATGTGCACTACACTTTTAACTGTCGCAAAATTTACAATTCGAACAAGACGATGCTCACGACTTACGTAAATATACCCCGCGAACAACATTGGAAAACAAATATATAAATACAATTTATTATAGTCTTAGTAATTTCGTGGTGAATTAATTTCTGAAGAAAATTAAATTCGAGAGTTTCGCAGTTAAATAAACTCCGCAGCAGCGTAATTGATCCCTGTAAAATGCATATATATATATATCATATTATATAAACATCGAATCTGTTTCGTTTTCCGGATGCCTATATAAAACGGGCACTCTTCTATATACGTATACTTTAGGTGTGTATACGCGTCTTAAGTCAAACTAAATACTTGAACGATGTGATTATTTATTAAACACCACCGCGGGAGGCGATCTGTTCCCGTGGCCGCTGAGGTGAAAGAGATTAAACAATAATAATATATAATTGCGTCTGCTTAACTTTCGTTCGACGTCGTCATTATTCTCACCACTATACTTTTACATCGCAAGTTATATACGCGAACACGGCGTGGACAGTTTTTTTTTTAAATTTCATTTCCCGGGTTAATATTTAATATTTATATATCAAGCACGGCCTTCGTCGTCGTTATAATATTAACGAGGGATCCGAGACGATTCGCGGCGCTGATAACGACCCATGCATAATACATCGAGACGTCGAGAAATTTTTAATTCCGCCTGTAAGAAGGCCGAACAAACAAACCGACGGCGGCGGCAGGTGCTCCGGTTCATTTAAACAATAATATTCCAAACGTCATTCCTTCGCGCTCGATGCGGTTGCACGGGAGAAAAATACAGATAAAACGTACGGATAATTGGTTTAGTTACGGTCAGAGGAAATCCAACGAATTTACGCCGTTCGGCAGTGCGCGGGTGCGACAATACCGCAGCTGAGCAGAACGATTTCATTCCGATTTCATAACGCGCCACCGAGTTTTTGTACCACAAGTTTACACTTGTTACTGTACTTCAAAGGTTCGATTACGACCGCCACCGTGGCAGAGCGATTGGAGTGAAATGGTGAGCGTGTCATGGAGAACTGACGAAACAGTCATTCTACTATTGGCACACATACACTGACATTGCCTTGGAGCGCGCATCCAGCGGGTGCTCGGACGGACTCTAAAATTTTTGGAGCGCCATTATAAAGGCAAAACGAAATATCCGATTTTTACAGGCGCGGTGAACATGACAATATTTTTATTCAATAGTTGTACGAGCATTGTAGTATTCCGCGCACGAAACGATCGCACGGATTCGAAATTTTTAACTTTTTTTCATCTACCTATAACTCGGTAAAAAAAAAAAAAAAGGTTAGCTGCATGGTTGACCGCGCTTTTGGTTACACATCACACATGCAGACATTTCGATCACCCGCGAACGGCACATAATCGTGTGCTCGAGCTAGCGTACGTATAACAATAAATATAATGATGTGCGAGCAATATAATATGGTGCTGCAGCAGGTCACGAAAACAATGCGCGAGACTCTCGTGTGCTGTTGTGTATTATATCACATGTGATATTATTTTTCTTAACACGTATAATGTATAGCTCGTGCACAGGATTCTGGAATAGATCCCGCACGGTGATTACTTTGTGCGCACACGGGGCGTATCACGGCCGAAATTCGAGTCATAAATATAAAGTTGCCGCGGATCCTGTTTAGGAAAATTACTCCTTGCACGGCGAACATTGACAATGACGGAAGCCCACACATATATATGTATATATATATATATATATATATACGTCTGTGTAACGAAACGGCGAGGCGGTATTTTCCGCTATTCGTTTTGAATAAATTTAACTTACCGTTTTCGCGTCCGCGTAATATATTTTATACATTGTATATATTATTTCGGAACCGTCAGACTTTCGCATACCTATACCGCGGCGGTGGAGCTAGAGTGAAGAACGAAACTACTTGTGCCGAAACGAAATCGTTTCGATTCCGGGGAATCCTTGATGTTCACTCGGCTATAATATACTGCGAGTACGTTGTACTGAAATAATATCCGAAAAGGAGGAAACGCCGCTATATTGTTTCATTCATACACACGCGTACTTTAAGAGTAGGTAAGCACGGAAGCCTAGGGATACTCGTCCTGCACAATGCAGACGTCGGTCCTGCGGCGGTAACTAGGATTTAATATATAGTCACGAGGAGTAGTTTCCTAGAAAACCAAAGTTCAAAATAAATCATTCGCAATCCACAACGAGAACGTCGTTATAGAGTTATTAAGTTATAGTCACGAGGAATCGAACTAGATCAATCCTAAACCACGGAGTTAAATAATCGTCCTCCTTACCTCGTCATTAACGACCGAAAGTAGACAACGAAATAAAAATAATGATTTATATTTTATAACTGTTTTAAGCTTATATTATGATGCAAATAATGTCTATAAAATAGCACTATCAATAATCTTACTGAGGTGTGGTGTGGGGCGGCGTTAAGCTTTAGTGACAAAACGTCTTTTGACTTCTGAGTGCAAGCACCAGCAGATGTTTTAAGTTCCCGGATGGGTGACCACCCGTTTTTGTTTTTTTGTGACAAATCTTTGACACACATACACGTATACACGTGTTCGCAACCGTACCCTCCCCCACAGTAAAACCGGCTAATAACCATTCAGTGTATGCTAAAAAAAAAAAACTTTGGTATTTTAATATTTTCTTTCTATATTTTTTTTTAAACTAAATTATTAAAGACTCAGACTAGCGAAATCTATTCTGCGTCATTGTCGACCTTATTTGATTCTCATCAGTACATATGAACTCGTAAATGGCACAAATGTAATAAACCAATATAAACATATAATTCATGCACAATGTAATATATGACTACCTGGGTATTAATTAATTTATACATTGAACCCATGACAGTTTTTTTTATTCAAAAATTTGGATATTAACCTGCGACTAAAAACTTCTACGGCACCAATAAAATCGAGAGGAACGCGATCGACTTTTGAAGCACTCGGAAATTGATCATAAACGAACGCCGTTCGGCGGCGCTCGAATGAGGGAGTGCTTAATATTATGTAAACAGTTTCTATTTACTGCAGCTCGTCTTGGCCTGCATTGTCGTCGGACAATATGCGCTCGTTAAAGTCGTCGCGCGTTTAATCGTTTTACAATATTATATTACTATGCAGCCAAAATTGTTATTATTGTCACTCGTCGTATCATGGCCGTACGATAACGGCGGACCACTTCTCTACGACTCAGCGTTGTGTCAGTTTTCGACGACGAGACTCACGGTGAGGATCGGGAGCTCTTTACGACATTAACATTAATTAACGACGACGACGTCATCCAAATTCGACGTGCACTACCTATCAGGGTAGGTATGTGCGGTAACCAACGCGCGTGTAGGCAGTCGTGGAAAGTGCGTAAACCTCGCGTGCCGAATATAATATCATTCTATATAATATATGTATAAGTACGTAAAAGTCGTACGGTGCGTGTACCACGCACTTTTCAGGTCACAAACAGTATTGTAATAGGTTTATATATACTATTATTTCTTCACGATATACTGCCAGACCAATTTCGAATAGAAACGTATAATAACTAATAAGTATATTATTTTGGTGCGATCGAGAAAAGAAAGATGAAATTTCTGGGCAAAACTTTTCGAGTCAACGCCACTGATCAACGACACTCGGCGGTCAATCCGACATCGGCGGGCCGCGCAATAATAAACAACCGGACGGACGTGACGGACCGCCACCGCCGCTTCAAGTCAAAAGTTTGTGCGATTTTTTTTAATGAAAATATAAATAATCTACGTAGCAGGTATACGACATGGACAGACAGTATAGTGTAGAGGTATATACTTACGTATTACGTACCTACGCCGTATAATACGTATATAGTGACAGCGACGGGTTCTGACGTTTAATGTCCGAAAACTTTTTTTTTATTTTTTTTCGTTTAGTTTCGGGTTCTCCCCGACCCTCCTCCCCTGGGACCTGACGGAAAGCTCGCGAACACTATTCACTGTACGCGCGTGTGTGTGCGTGTGTGTGCGTGTGTGTGCGTATGTGGACGACGCCGTTGCCGTCAATGTCACGGCCGACGGCGTGCGTACAAGGCAAACCGCGGGGAAAAATTGCCTGTTTTTCACTGGAAACGGCTCTCGGGGGACGACCCCGAAACGGTATATACGTCAGCGTAATTTCCAAGAACTTTTTCACCCTCCCCTCGTCTCCCGACGCACCGTCGACCGTCTCCGTCCCCGGGGTGCACTTTCCTCGCCCGCGCCAACGCTTGTCCTGCAGGTACCCACGGCCACCGCGTGTCCGAGACCAATTCATTTCGAGGAGCCCGAGCCAGTATTTTATATATAAATCGTGTACCTCACACACCCGCCGGGCCCGTCCGCCAGCGTCATAGTTCCGAGATGCGGCGATACAGCCATCAAGCGCCGTGCCCACTCCCGCAGCAGCTATACTTATTTCCGTCTGAGAACATATTTTACCATTTATATATTATATAGCCGTATACATATACGTGTATATTTTACAGCCGCAACACGATATAACAACAACACTAATAATAATAATAATAATAATATGATCCCACGAGGGTCGATCGCAGCTCGTTTTATTGCGCGCACGTCTCGACCCGAGATGATAACGGCCGTGCACATACGTATAATATAAGACACGACGAATAAACACAGACGTGGACGTCCCCTGCGGAAGTCAATATATAGGTCGAGTGAGCCCGATACGGATCGCGAATTCATTTTTCTCTTAATATTATGACTCGTCTGTGAGACTAGCGATAGCTGATAACATCGCCGGCTGACATTCCAAAATAATACAGGCCGGAGTACTTACTAATCACTGATTACGACTGTCGACCAAACAAACAGAAAGTCATACCACGCAAGGACAGAGTAATTTATATTATAGTTGTTGCGAGACGGCTAATTCATTTTTTCCAGGCACATTCATACCTCCACGTCATACCTGCTCGTGACTAAGAATGATAAAATACTAATAGTCGGCTAGTCACCACATAGCCACAATCGCACAAAATATCAATCTTTACAGCCGAAAAGTGGTCAACCCCCTCCCCTGATAAATATGAAATCAGTGTAAACTTTTTCACAGTAATATTACTGAATAAAATTAGTAGGTGGATAAATATTTTTTTGTTTATTAAAATCGCGAACTGTTCAAAAACAAACGAAACTGTCACACAACCAAATTACCCGTTTACATATTATGAATTATTATTGTTGAAAGGATAGGTCGATAACTCAACAGTGTTTATAACTTGGAATTCGATTTGTATAGGACTTCAAAAAATATTTTGCTTAGGAATATTAAATTTAAAATGCATCTTGTTATGTCGAAAAAGTATAAAAACTTTAAAAAAAAATAAAAATGTTGTCTTTCAGTGACCAAATATTAATGTAAAAAAAATGTTTATTGAAAAAATGAGTATAGAAACTTAAATATTTCAGTAATTTTGTTTACACTGTCTTACTGTAGTATTATGTGACAGTCACACAACTTCCCACTCTCGTTCTTCATAAAAATATGTTGTGCATTGTTGCTACTTTACAATAAATGTTGATTAAAATATAAAATACCAATCTACAATATTATTTTAGTCCAATTGTAGCAGTAAACCTCCTGACACCAACTAACCATCCACACGTCCGTCATTTTGCCCCCCCCCCCTCCACTGCACCCAATTTGGCCCAAACTATCCTTAATTCATTCCCACCATTCTTCCTGAAAATAAAAGCCGTACGCGTATTCTTTCGCTGCAGGGCGAGCTCATTTTCCTCGTCCGACCTCGTTACAAAACCACCACATTATTCCAAGCTCCAACAGAACTTTCTGCCCGACCACACAATTACAAGGGTATACAATCCCAACTCGATACCATACAATACATCGCACCGTACACCAGTTTCTAGGTATGAACCGTTTTATTAATTATCTATTTTAAGTATAAACATACTAAACAACGAAGTAAATGCTTAACCGCCAACCATATTATTATAATATATTTATACATATATGTTTTTAAGAAGATGTTTTCAGTATTTTTTTTTACATTTCCAGTATTTGAGCCACTTGAATTATTTATCCTGAAATAAACCGAACAAGTAGCATTTAAATTTTTGATCTATTAATATTAACATATAAAAATGTAACAACCACGGCATGGTACTATTAACTGTAATACTACTATATAACTATAATATTATATATTGGGTATAAATTATTAAGTTAGGGTCGATTTTGGAGGTAACTTGATGGTTAAGAATTTTCAAAAGAAAATTATTTACTTAAACAAAAGCTACTTTATAAGGAAGATTTTAAGTTTAACATATTTGAGTTTGGTATGGGTTCGTTCATCTGCAGGAGAATTTCACAAGACGATGCACGTGCGAGAACAGAAAATTTATAATATAATACGTAAAATATATATTATGACGTATACATGTTAAGCACGCGATTTTATTTAGACTAAAAATCGAAGGTATTAGAATATTATATTCAGTATATTGCTATATAGTGACGCGTTATTTTCCGAACAGCATCGCCCGGAATTTAATCCAAGTTTTTCATATACTTTCGAAAGTGTACACTATTTTTTCTCTATATTTTCTTGACATCAGTCCCCGGGGCTACACCAATACCTAATTAACAAAGTGGGAATTTCTTAAGGAATATTGTATTAATATATTAATAACAATAAACAGGTTATTACTGATATCCTTTGAGATGGATTGAAAATCTCCGCCACACTATAATATATGTATCTAATAAATATAGGTTCCTACCAAGCACTAAGAAAATAAAACGAACCTCATAGCTACTTCTCCTTAAGGTTGTATACATTTTATTAACAATGAAACAATTCGTGTAGTCTTAAGTTGTTTTAAACGTAAATTAAAAAAAAAATCTCTACTCTATAAATATAAAACTCATCGATAAATATGATGTAATGAAAATCTTGAGTACACCATAAAAAAACTTTGTATTTCATTGCTACTTTAATAATACAAAACAATGTTATTCTTTGTGTAATAGTAATTATTAACAAACTTCAGTACTTTTTTTGACTTCCACATTTATAATAACTAATCGAAAATTATATTTTCATTAAATAAATACTATATTTTTAATTATTCTTCAAGTAAAAAATCGAGAACAGATTTTTATAAGTTAATACTACCTATATTATACTACGGTACCAAATAACAAAAGTTAAGTTATTTATATTATTAATATTATTGTTATGTTTAAGTTGAACACGATGTTTGTACTTATGTTATGTTTTCTAATTTTATTGTTATAATATTATTATTAAAATTGTGTAATCACGTTTTAACATTTACTTGCGACCATTAACAGCGATTCCTTAACAAATTAACTTTCCAACTTACCATACTTCTATCTACGTCGAGAATGAAACAACTCTCAAATAGTCTTAATTAATAACTTTAATCCTCAAATAGGACGAACAAAGAATAACGTTTTTGAATCATCAAGTTAGACAGACATTATCAAATGCTATTAAGACATACAACATTATAATATATCGTTAATAGAAAATGAATAAATATTCTAAACATTCTCATTTTTAGAATAAGTAAGTCACTTATTCATATCATAAATATTATATAAAACTGAAAATCAATTTAATTGGCATTTTAGATTTAAAAAAAAAACAACATAATAAATACTCAGTAGTGATTATGACGTCTTAAATTACTTATAATATTAAACAAAATACTATCATCTTTGCTATCAAATATAATAATACTTTGGTACAACTATAAACCATGCAACGCAAAACCTTACAGAATTGTATAAATGATTTGCATAAAAATATGAAGTTCAACATGGATCGTCAAAAATGGTGATCACGTTTTACCGTTATGGCAGAAAACAGTATATAATATGGTTCGGAGGAAAATATATTGTTGAGTTTATACATTGAAATGTTAAAATTACGGGTTAAAATTTCACGTTGAAATACCATGATCAAGCCCCGCAGAAATATGTTATAAATAATAGCTTTCATGTCGGTACTGAGAAAAACATTCACATCCGGAATTTTCGCTCCTAAAACTATAGGCGCATATGATTTATATCCCTGAAAGGATACGATTCGTATTCACATTTATTTTCATTAAATAAACCATAGTGTAACCGGTGACTTACATAAAAGTTATATTGTAATAAAAAAAAAAATGTAATATTTGAAGACGATATAAAAATGAATGAATTGAAAATTTATAATACAGTCATCGACTTTTAAATCAATTTTAAAAGGGACAAATTAAACTTTTAAAGACTGAAGAAATATTGCTGATCCGTTGTCTAAGGATAGTAAATTGAGTATTTGTGTTCTGAAGTGTGTAAAAAACCCAAATTATAATTTTATTAAACACACGAAAAACAGATTTATATGTTTTATTCATTTTAATTGAATATAGTATAAACATTTATAAAATATAATATTTTTAATCATTATATTATGACAATAGCTTGAAAATCGTCATCGTATTATCAAAATATTTAATTAATTACAAACACTTAAAAATTAGAGGGATAATTCAATAATATCGTTTTTATTCCGAGTTCAACATAATATCTATTTTTTAATTCACTGCATATTATATTACAAATGCACGTCGACAACAAATTCCAATTTTGTGTTAAATTTTTAAGTTTTGTATTCACAGCAAAATCTACCATATTTTTGATTGAT